GAAAAATATTGCAGCAATCAAGGTGTCTAGATATGATAAAATCTACTAAAGAATCTCTAGACAAGCCACTGGATCTGGAAATGTGCATTGTAGATCGCACCAATAAAATGTGATCTTTCTGAAGCAGTCCAGGGAAAATGACGGGAGAGCAGTATAACCAGTGGGGGAAATGCAAGAGGTCACAAACTTGTATATTACATTAAGGGGCATTGAAGGCACCTCAAGTCTTAGGGAATAAAAAGAAAGTTTTAGTAATCTATGGAAGGTTTCGCAGACATGCGTTGACCAAGAAAGGTTATGGGACAAAAAGACGCCGAGTTACTTGGCCGTGGATGTCCTCGGTATAAGATTTTCATTCACAGTAAGTGTGGGGAAGAAATCTATGGGGGACTGCAACTTATCACCGAGAAAAGTAAATAATACATCACTGCATCTAGAAGCGTTAGGTGTCATGGACCTGGATGAAGACCACTCCACCAGATCTTCCAACCCAGGTGGGAGTGATGAGGAATCGTGAATAGTGGGAGCCATACATCCCAGCACAACCTCATCAGCATATTTGCATCCTATAAATGGGATTTGTACAGGGAGATGTTCTACATATAGGGAAAAGAGGGGAGATGATAGGATCGCCCCATGCAAAACATCACAGTCGGCGCTGAGGACAGAAAACTACCTACTGTTTCACTGCTTTTTCACACGCTATTTTCTTCTTTCTTGTGTCATATTTGATTGATATAGCACATCGCATTGTTCAAAACATTTAAGTATACAATTCTTCCACTGATTCCGGTTTCGCACAATATCAGCAGGTGCATCCAGTTAATCGCAATCCTCATCCTTAAGCCCCAAATCAGAAGGATGTGCGGGGCCCAAGATGGTGAGACGGGAGGTTAGTGATTTCATGGTTTGCTGCTAAGTGGTTGGTTAGCCTCCACGTGTCCTCTTCCAGTTCAGTACTATGCGAACAAATAAGGCGCGGCGTGAGAAGCGCTAGCATGCAGGTGTAGGACGTGGCCGGGCCATATCAATTGACGTATTGCAACATGGCGATTAAATGGAAGGTTATATCTCCCAAAACGAGACGCCGGACTTCATTGTTGCGAACGTGGTGCTGCCACCACACACGGGCTAACCTCCGAAAACCGAAAGTCGACGCATGTCGTTCACACCAATCGGCCAGTACTGACTTCCGTACAACAAGATCGCGCAGACACAAGCGTTGTAAGCCCTCCTCTTTAAGGAGCGGGATATATGCCAACGCATCACCAATCTCCCAATTTTGATCTAAAACTGTTGGAGCAATTTCAATATTTCCTCGGAAAATTCTTCTAAAAAAACGTACATTTATGAGGGTAGATGTTTCCTGTGGCAATTTGTACAGTCTGAAGCGAACGTCGGATAAAAGCCCATCATTTCTCGTCACTTTCCTTCACCCCTTTTCTATTTGTTTATTTCTCTCTTACCACTGTTGGCCACGACTGGGTCGATCTCTCGAGGTGATGGATAAAAGCTTCCACAAACGTGGTACACACATGCAATGCGAGTTGTCACGAACCCACTGGGGAATATTAAAAGTACTGGGCTCGATTCAGCTAAATGATAACTGTAGTATGATGGGAAGAGCTTAACATATAACACACGCCCCTACAAAAATATAGACGCATTTATGTGCAATGCGTTACCAAGGTGATGACAGATTCGCAAATGACAATAGCCAACAAGAAAAAATCAGTCAAAAACATCATTGCCTACTTGGTTTAAGCCAAAACAGCACAAAGCCAGACGAGATGTGTAAGTGAAATTGGAAGCTGGTCACCGGGAGACGGTTACATGTAGGGTCGTATAACTTGAACTGATGGCTATATCTACTTTTATTCCTACTCTCAACTTCTCCCTATTTTACTACTTCTAAATGATTGAGCACCTCAAGCCCTTTATTGAGAACATAACAGATCTTGCGAAATCTCGCCACTATCCGAGCTTGCTGTGTCAATTTATCAAGCTTGTATTTCGCCTGTCTCGCATGTCGAAAAATATACCGTTCATTTATTAACAAATGACTTAGAGGAGTAAATGCCGACGGAGCTTCCGCGATGCGAAATGTAACCTCCTTACCAATAGCGCCATCGGCAGAAATACAACTTCCAAGGTAGATAAAGTTATCCACCAACTCCAGCCGTGTTCTTCCAACAGTAAATGAGGGGCGAGTCCTAGAGTAGCACTTATCACTTTAAGATTTGTGAGTCCTTGAAATCGATTGGACGGGAGACAACCAATGAGTGCGCTCGGTGGCTAGAATCAGTCAACGAGAATCGTTGGTGAGGCAGTAGCAACTAGGGGGGGGGGCGAAAGCCAGACTCGAGCAATTTCTGGTAGCAAGGAAGCATTCAGAAGATATCACTGTAATAAACGACGCAATTCTCTGGCAATCATTGAATCAGGCTAGCTGTACTCGGTTCGTTCTCCTTAAGTATCCAAAAATCGGACCTGTCAAACCGCATTGGTTTGATAGGGAATACAGACAATTAGCGCGACGACGTCGTAAACTTTGGGATAGATACATCAGCTCGGGTTGTGATGAAGATTACACGGTGTACAAGAAACAGCGTAACTTATGTAACGCCGCAAAGATCAAGAAACGCCGGCAGTTCGAAGAGGAGCTAGCATCCTCGGCTACAACTGCACCCAAGCGAATATTTGCCTACTTGAAACGTCAACTGAAATCTGCGGACGACCTACCGGTCTTAGAGAGCTTAGACGGGAAGACACTCATTTCAAGCGCAGAGCGCGCGGACGCCCTGGCTACGCACTTCCTCACTGTATTTTCCAGTAAATCGGCGGCTGTTCCAGTACCGGCACAGGTTGCGCAAGTCTTGTTCGACAGCCTACAATGTGATGCAGTCGAAGTACATCAGCTACTCGTCAACCTTAATGGTGCAAAGCCCCCCCGGACCAGACGGACTTCACCCACTAATACTCAAGTCCCTATCGATTATCATCTCACCAGCTGTGACAAACATCTTCAATAGATCGCTCTCTGAAGGATCCATCCAGAACGACTGGAAATGCTCGATAGTTAAACCGCTTCCCAAGGGTGGTGATTCGAGTAAAATAGAGAACTATAGACCGATCTGTTTGACTTCGGTATTATCCAAAGTTCTCGAGAAGGTTGTGAAAAAGTGTCTGCTGTCGTTCTTGGAATCGATGGACGTATTGACGTCAGCGCAACACGGCTTTACGAAAGGGTGATCCTGCATCACCAACTTGATGTACGCAAACCACCAGTGGGTTCGAGCTCTCAATGAACAGAAGGATGTTGACGTGGTGTACATCGACTTTAGTAAGGCGTTTGACAGAATGAACCACGAGGTACTCCTTCGTAAACTGAGGACATACGGAATCGGTGGCACGTTACTTCAGTGGATACAAGAGTTTATTGTGGGACGAAGGTTTAGAGTACAGGTCAATGACTATCTGACAGAATGGTTACCATCGACCAGTGGCGTGCCTCAAGGAATTGCACTCGGGTCAGTATTATTTCTTATTCATATCAACGATCTTCCGCACCAGCTCCAGTCACCATGTGCCCTGTTTGCAGATGATTTGAAAATCTGGAGGATCATTGAAAACCAGGACGACTGCGCTCGCCTCCAGCATGACTTAGAGCGACTGTCAACCTGGTCCACTGAAATGCAACTCCCTCTTAACGCAAGCAAGTCGGAGTTCATCAGTATCACCAGACGTCCAGTCACTCGATCATACACATTGGACGGCCAGTTGCTCCATCCCAACACATCTGTCAGAGACTTAGGAGTTCTCTCACGACATGATTTGAGATCACTAGAAAATACAGAGAAATTGTACCGTGCGGGACTTCGTATGCTCTGGGCATTACGACGCAGTTTCTCCACATGGTCCGAAGAAACCGTCCCTCGTCTATTCACCTCGCTCATTAGACCAATCCTTGAATACGGTGCCCCAGCTTACCATCCGATAACCCAATGGGAAACAGAAAAGCTGGAGAAAATACAGCATATCGCAACTAGAATGATACCGACCCTACGAAAGCTTCCGTATGAAAAATGTTGTGAAACGCTCGGACTCTACACACTATCCTATCGCCGAGTAAGAATTGATCTTATTATGACCCATCGAGTACTACACCTGAATCACTTCCCCATACTGCGGCCAATATTTCACCTGCGGGAATCCTGTAACACCCGAGGACATCGTTACAAACTCAGGGTCCCCAGCACGAACAAAGTATCACATCAGCTTTGTATCGAACGAAGAATCGTAAACTTATGGAATACACTACCTGAAGGATTAATAGAGGCCGAGTCTGTGAAGTGTTTTAAAACCAGTATCGACGATTATTTTGGAAACCTGTGCTTTTGTGAAACGATGCACATACAGTGCCAAAAGAAGACATTGTATGCCCGGAAATAATGACACTAGTACAAATTTCTAACCGAACAAGGATAAAGGATTAACGGACCCGACACAACCGCTGATAATTCACAAGTAAATTTTGATTTTTCGTAATTCGATAGAGTTGTACAGAAATCTTTCTACTGGCTCTTAAATACAGTCTCAGTCTCAGATCTTCGCCTTTTCGAAGTGAGTAGCTGGGATCCGCGACATTCGTATCAGGCACATAAACTCTCACCCATTGTGCACAGGATGATATGTCTGTGGGTGGAACAGGGGGCGAGGTGTGTTGGTGAGGATGCAGACGATGCAGCAAAAGCACGCAAGGGTTTCTGAAGGAAGGAAGGTCTTATGGATCTAGTGTAATCACAACGACGGGTAAACTCCGAAACGGATGCAGTTAGTCATTCACGACCGGGTTAGGAAAAGTGAGTGCATCATTCCAACGGGAAGATAATTTGAGTACCGTGAAAATGAATTACTGCCCCGGGAAACGGTTGCAGAGCAAAGGGAGTGGAAGTTGTGGCAGAAAGGGAATGTGAGATGAACTGACAATTGGCACTCACCAATGTCCCGGAGTGATAGCCACAATTGAAAGGAGGCTCAAGCGCTCTTGGGTTGCCAATGGACATACATCGTCATGAGCACTGGATGGAGCTCGTTTCAAACTCATCCAAGCAGCTGATACCAAAAATCCGATCAAGCTTGGTGTCAGCCTAATACGTGAGGCCTGAGATCCAACGTGGTTAGTAGTCGCTGGGACCAAATCCATGAAAACGGAGAGCCATCGTTTGAGCAAATTCAACTGCGTGACGCTGCATTGAGAGAGGAAAGGCATGAAATAGGCTGATGAAAAAGCTACCATAGAGTAATGTAAGTGGGACTTCTATCAATTTCAAAGGAATTTCGCCATAGTGACGCTTACTTAAGTTGCTGCGAAAATGTCGGAAAAGCACCGGAAGGCCGTTTCGTCCTTTCGGGATTAGCCAACAGTGCATGCCACATTATCTTACTGATTGCACAGGTTTGCAAGAGGTGAAAAAAACCGTAACCATTGTGCTACAATGAAACGCAATCGGATGGTCGCACAAAGCAAATTACAGTTCATCCGCACAGTGAAAAGTTAGCACCCGCAACCTTGATCTTGCAATTCAGAGATTTGCATCGGTAAAGATGGTATCTACTGCCACCAAATAACTAGCTGTGTGTAAAGTACTGGACCGGCCATCGGTCTTAAATCAATGATGCAAGGTAACGGAAAGGACAGACAGATATGATTGAGGGTAAAACAAAGCGGAGAATCTAGCCTACATGCGCGCAATCTTACCGGCAAGGAGACTCAGAATCGACTTCTCCATCACTCACAGAAGCTGCTGCGGAGCACAGAAAATCCAATGTAGTTCGTTTGTCCACACTACCGTCCGATTGGCTCACACAACTAGACAGTATGGTGAACCAAAAAGGTTCCGTCCAGCGTAGTAAAAATTGAACAGCCTGCTCACGACTGTGTTTACAAGCCAAGATGAGAGAACCCTCGGCAATCTTGAAAAACAGCTACAAAATAGAGGAACAGAAATCGTTTTCATTCAGTGCACTAACTACGATCCGGGTGTAACTGTCATGACCAGTACCATCGTGAGGACAGTATAAAAATGAAAACCGCAAGAGAAGTTGCGAGAACAAACACAACCGTTGATTCTTTAAGTTCAGCTAGCCAGAAGATCAGATGGCTCCGTCCAAGGTCAGGTCTTTCACAGCTTGGTTCTCCTGGGATATAAAGGAAACTTGATTCGCAGTCTTACACCGAGAGCACGTAAAATCTGCTCTGAAGACACGTTGGATGATGAGCTTGTGGTCATTAAGAATGTGCTGCGTGAAAAGGGGTACTGTGATAGATTCTTCTCCAAGAACATTCAAGAGAAACCCAACCCGGTACCGATATTAAAAGTCAAGAAAAACACTGCATTTCTAATAAGCTGAGGCAGCGGAACGCTTAGCTAGAAGTCTGTCATCTGCAGCTAAATCGGCTTTCCCACCGGTGACCCTGAAATGCATGTTCACAAAAGAACCGCTCATCCGTGCTCAAAACAAGGACACACTGCCGACGTTGACCGCTTCAGTGGTCATTTACCAGTACAAGTGCGCCAGTGACGAAACATACTACTAAATCCCAAAAGTAAGTGTACAGATGTTCCTATGTACTACTAGACAAAGTAACCTCCTTGGTAAATATCGATGTATCGGTAGTGATCTTAGTTGCATATCTAGACATGTTTGAACTCGATCAACTGTGTCATTCTCGCGCTAAAGCAGTTGGTGTAAGATCGTGTGATAATATCTCTTTGCGCTTACGAGGGATTGAAATATGGAACAATGGTAGGCTATCGAAGTCTGCCACTGAGACATTTGCAGACTTAATGGAAGCTTACAAAGATGCCACTCTATCGAGAAATAGTTTTCAGGTGGCATAATGATTTCACAGAGGGTCGAGAAAAGGTTGAAGATGAACCTGATTCGAAAAAGCAAATCGTGTCAACAAACGATCAAAATGTGATAGTTGTGCGAGCTGTGCTGGCGAAAATGATGATCGTCGTCCATTTCGACAGCAGTGGAATTGTGCACAAAGAACCTCTATCTTCAGGACAAACAGTTAATCAGGCCTTCTACAAAGATCTCTTGGAACGAATACGAAAAAAGGTCCAGAGAGTCCGAGGAAACATTACAGATGATTGGATGTCGTACCACGATAACGCACCTGCTCAATCAGCGCCTTCATTTCGGGAGTTTTTGGTGATGAAAAGCATCCTCACACTGCCACAGCCTTCCTACAGTCCTGACCAAGCTCCCTAAGTTGAAGTCTAAGTTGAATGGTCAACACCGAATCGAAGAAACCATCAAAAAATTGTAACGAACGAACTTAGCACCCTTACGGAAAATGACTTCAATACTGCTACGGTCAGAGGAAAAAAACGTTGGAACTTCCCAAGGGTTATACTTTGAAACGGATAAGTTGTAATTTCTAGTGAGTCTTATACACATTGAAATAAAAAATCAGTACAATTACTTTTGGAATACAGGGATGTCGGTGGAACGTCGCGGCACTTATCGAAGAGCACCAATGAGCACTATCCATGCCAGTTGCGTCATGGCATCGGAGATATTAATAGCGCTTTTGGCCAATTTTGTGGACACTGGGCATCAAACATACTTACACCAAGCCGTTCGACTAATATACAGAAACTCACTGCTGTAACCGAAAAGCATAGGTGCATTCTGGCAACAGCCGATACCATCGGCATTCGGTAGTTTCAATCGTCTTAAGGATCCGGAAGAAACTGATCCAAACAATGCAGTTGTCATGGCCAACGAAAGTGGAAGGCGAAAAAGCAAATACCCTGTCGGTTCACGAACACAGCCGGCAGGTGATCTGTTTCATGTAAGGTAATCTGTTCATTTGTACCCCCGCCCCAATGTTAGTTTCTCTAGGTGTTTACATAGGCTTGAGAAGAAATTACCGAAAAAAACCGTGCACCTCAATTTCTATGTTCGTGATACCTAGAAACGAAAGCGTTGAGCGGAAACAGCAATATCAACAAATAAGAGGCAATTCACAAAAACGTCCATGACTTTGTGACCGAGCTATGTTGGGTACGGTCTGCAGCCAATGAGGCAAATTGGTCTGAAACCCCAGCTTGAGAGGAAAAGCCAAATGGAAAAGGAAGAGGGAATAAGATAAAAGAATATGCAATTCAATTGCATAAATAGAAAATTAGGTTGAGGTGATAGGAAAAGAGAAGCAGCGGATACACAACCCATGAAGGTACTGAATTGGAATACTGCATAATGAGGCTACAGGGTCCAAATCCCACTAAACCTTCACCGTCACTTATTCAAAGCGTGACAGGACTGGAGCAGGACTGGTGCAGTTCAAGAATATACACTGGAACCGGATTCAGAAATACGGTCTCCACAAGTTCAGAACATTGGTGGACAAAAGTTTTATGCCACTAGGACTCGTTATGGTGCGGCATTCCAACTCAGGACAATTGTCATTCCGCACACACAGGGAGTTAGGCCGCTGGCAGCAACCGTCATGGTAAAGTTGCAGACCGCGACACATGTCGAGGCACACTCTTACCATGTGCATCATTTCCGAGCACCACACAGATGAAACAGCGGCTTAGTGTCTTACAGGAAATGTAATGGCTGTCCGGATCGAAGTTAGCTAAGACTAGTCTTTAAACAAACTGCAAGTAGTCCTCGCTTCCTTCATGTCGAAATTGAACGAAGAATGATGCACGTCTACTCTGTACCATTGCATGGCAATGAGGAATTGCATATGGAAAATAGAATTTATTGCGGGGCAAATAACGGATATGTCCATCATTGACTTTCTCCAGATTCGGGATCTTCTAGATGAACTCCGAACCGGGAGAATGGTGATAATAGGCTGACGTCTTGACAGCCACAATACAAAACTACAGGAACGGGGTGTGACGGCAAATTGAAAGTCGCCTTAGCATAAACTGCCAGAGATGTGTGGCCAGATTGTAGTATGCAGACCGAAAGGGGCGGGACCTAATTCACTGGTAAACCCGGGGCATAAAAATCCCTAGAATGAAAGCCGAAGGAAGCGGGATCTTATGCCAGTCTATTCGTGATGTTGCATAAAAAGGAAAAGGCAGCTGCAGCAAAAGGTGTGAAATGATACAAACGTACACGGAGAAGAAACGCGTTCTGTAAAGAGCCTTACAATAAAGTGGAAAGTGGACTGAGTGGTTGAACATGAGCAGCAGATCTGCGGATCCCAGGGTACGCACATTGACACCGTTTTCATGACAAAAACGAAGGGTAGACGGGCATGAATAGAGCAGAGTGCAGATCTATGATCCCACTGCCACAAGAAATGTCTAGGGTTGGAATTGAGCGCCTTGCAACCAGAGGACAGAGAGTAAGCAAAATGGTGAACATATTTTCAAACGTAGATTTGGTTCGAACAGGTGTGTAAAGAACGGGTCACACTTTCATGGAAGAGGCGGAACAAGTGGACATAAAGGGGGGCGTGCTTGCGGAACCAGTCAAAATGTTTGCGGGCAAAACCGATTCAGGTGGCTTAGGCTTAGGCTGTTTCGGCCTTAGATTCAAAAAGGTGGGTTTGGCTAGAGTATCCGATATTTCTAAACGGCTAATAGGCGTGCAAACAGTAGAAATGAGAAAATAGCATATTGAGTGGAAGCCACAGGTAACTAGCAAAAGCAGAGAATGAGACGTTAACTCAGTGACCTTGTGTGAGGGATCTAGGAGTACTCTCACGTCGCTACCAAACGTCCAGTGACAACAAGAACAGGCTATATCGTAACAGACTGCGCAAACGCTTGGCGCTCAAACGCTTCTTCTGCAGCTCGTCCGAGGAGGCTGTCACTCGCCGCTTCTCCTTTGTCATCAGATTAGGGCTAGAGTACGGCTAGACCGCCGATTGTCCGATCACTCAGGGCGAGGTGCACAAGTATGGAAGGACACAAAAGGTCGTTACCAGGACCACCCGTAGTTAGCAAGGCTTACTGTAAGGAAGACAGATGCGGAAGACTGGGACAGTACACCCTGGTCTATCGTCGTGTGTGTGAGTCGACCTCACCATGCATACATACGGCATTCTACAAATGATCGACTTCACCATACTGAGACCAGCGCTTCACTTGCGAACACCTTGCAGTAGACGCGGACGCCAGTACAAGCTTGTGGTTCCTGATCTGAAGAGAGTTTCCCATACCCTGTGTTGTGTGTGGTAAATGTCCGGAACGGTTTTCCAGAACATATAGTGAAAGCAAACAGTTCAAATGATTGTTGGATGTGCGTTTTTCAAATTCCAGTAACGATAATCCACTGATATAACACACTCGTGAATCCCAATGTACTGTGAATTACAGGTTTTTTGAAGATAACACGTGAGAACGTGAAAAGCAATCAGGATATTGCCAAGTCATAGATGGTTTACCTTTTTTTAACTTGTTTGATCATATTTCGATAGAATTGCACAGGTTCAAATTTCTAGTTGCTCCCACAATACAGGGCCCAGTAACGGACGACAATGGTGTCCTGCTTGTGGATGCGGTCTATCTACACTTTGGTCACCGCATATGCCACGTGTCTCGTAGACCTTTCAATGATGAATAAATCGGTTGCCACTTGAGGGCCAGCTTTGACGCAACGGGTGAAAACAATTTGTGATCATATTGATGACAGCAAAAAATTAGTCAAATATTCCAGACATTCAGATAATTATATATATGCATCCATGGAGGGCTAGGGTCGACAGAGACAGGCTAAAGATAGAGGAGATGAATCGCAATCGAATCCGAAGGGGCAATTCACGGTGAAAGGAGCGAAATCAAGTAAAGTCAAGAAAGTAACGAAAGGGCGACCTAATAGTAACCGTAGGAGTAAAAGATTCACTCCAGTTAAGAGATGCAAACGTCTGGAAAACTCTGACGTACCTCTGCATCTTCAGATGTCTCCAGTCTCTCGAACAAGGACTCAGGCATATCCCGCTTAGCACATCCATTCGGTGAACCAACCAAGAACGGCATCAGAGCTTCAACTGAGTCTGACCAACACGCGCCGTCGCCAGTGACCATGCTGGCCCACAAACGGAGACCGGGTTCCAAGAGGGCCTCGGAGCCAGACCCATTCTGTTCACTGAGTGCGGAGTTGACGAGTGACGCGATTGAGGGCTGAATAGCTGACCGGAATGCTACCAGAGTTTCATCCGTTTCATCATCCGAATGAATAAGGGTGGAGACAAGACACATGGCGTCTAACACACTGGTACGCAAAGCTGTTGTGCGATTGTCTGTCAACGGAAGATGCACGTATGAAATTAGGTACCAGGATAAATAAAGAACAAGAGAATAAGCCGATGAAGAACAAAGGAAAATAATGCGAGCGCTCACAAACCTGGGCACTGAAAAGTGGCACTCACCCAAGCTCCACAACTGGTCCAACAACGACAACATTTGAGAAGTGAGCTGCGGAGAGCTAATAACATCGACCGGTTCGATTAAGGTGCACAGAATTTGCAGTAATTGCACACGAGTCTCACATTCAGAGACATCCTGGAAATGACATGAGATGAGGCGTGGTGTGTTAGAAAGTGCGTTTCAGCGAAGAGCAAAATTGCCGAAGGGTATAGCTGTGTTATAGGAATATGCGACAAAAGTCATGCAGTGTGGTAAACAGGCTGCGAATATGGCCCGGGAATAGGAACACTGGAAAACTGACGCATCATGGCATCGATTCGCTGGAGTCAATGGGTTATGAATGCATCAAATGGGTTGTTGATCAGAGCTCCAAGACTATAACGTCAATATATGAATCAAACACCATGAACATATATTCCCGCGAATGTATAAAAAGGCCGGACAATTTAGAGATGGCATTCCATTTACGAAATTCACGCTACCCAGGGTGCCCTAGGAAGTTCGGCCGATATAAGTTGCCAGTGCGCATGCAGGTAACTACGAGTCCCTAGATCAAATACTGCAGCGACACAGTATTCAGCATAATGCTAGGTGCTTTTGCCACAATTGTATGGTGAGCCGGCTCGAGCAACTCGTGAAGCTGTGCGGATATCGCGTCCTACGGGTGAAGGACACATTAAGTTGCAGTTAGTTATGCTTAAGAGCCAACACTTAATTGTGACTGACGTGGCAGTCGTTCGGAGGGATAGGTTGGAATGCGCATGGAAGGAAAGAGTTACCAAGCATCATACAGATTGTATCAATGCTTTCGTTCTTAAGACGATGGTAGATGGCCGTGAAGTTCGTAACGACCTCTCGATCCTTCACTTACTTTTGGTCATTTAGGAACGCGAGCACATGTAGAGAAAATCTGCATCTGGCTCATAGTGCTTAGTTGTGAGTCCCCGGTATGTTTCTGATTTACGCCACTTGGCTATTACACCCCCCCTAGCATGTTATGAGAGAACGAACACGAAAATATGTTCCATCTCGCAGATCCCCTGCGGAATGATATGCGGAAAACACCCTCAAAATGGGCAACCATTGCGGATGAGCGCAACTGTTTCCACCATCATGGGTTATAGGATGAAGCGTGACTGTCTTTTGGATTTATAAGTTATTAAAGGTCTCCTCTTTGGAATGCTTCTATGTTCGTGACATACCCCCGTCTTCGGTGGATACTGAAAAAAGTAAGCAACTTATAGAATGATAGATATTATGACAGGTGCCCCAGAAAACGAACTAGTGCGCCAACAGAGAGTATAATACACCTGGATGCGAGCGATATCCCGACCAAATAAGGTGTGTGCTCAGTGTGGTCCCCGCCTCTTCATTCGTAGTCTGTCTCATTGGTCTAGGTATGTATCAGCAACCCCGTCTGCAGAAAACATACATTTAAATAGTACCCGGCAACAGACTCTCCGGTGTATCGACGAGGCGTTTGTAGGACTCGAATCGTATTCGGTGACTCGGTGGTCATGCACTCCCACGTGTGTTACAAGCTGGCTGCTTCGGTGTGCGTCGATTGCTACTACTGGAAGGTGGAACACCAAGGTGGTCAGGCGATGAAATGATACATAACAGAGGGGGGGGGGTAACCAAAGGGCTGAGTCGAGTTAGTTGCCTTATTAGATAGTATTAGTAGTAGTATCAACAGTGTAGTAGATGGACATAAAACCAACAAGAACTATGGAAATTGGTGAGTAAGGGGTAGAGTCATCGCGTCATAATCACCGTGGCACTGTAGTTGAAGGTGAACAACACACTTTAGATACTGTGCCAAAGAAAAAAAGGAATGTCTTTTATTTGCACATTACGCAACTTTTAATCGTTTTAATAATTAGTCATAACGCATCTGACTCTAAGTAAGCATATATATATGTCCAAAAAATGGACATGGGGGCTATCAGAGAAAAACCATGGGAATCAAAGGAAAGTACAATATGACAAAAATAGAAGGAAACATTTTTGTTGCTTTTCACATGCAAATTTTTCTCTGTTGTTATTTTCAATATCTGAAACAGTAAACATGTGAATCAATACAATTCTGTGCCCAGTTGTTCCACTGATTCCGGTTGTGGGCCATGTCTTCAAACGTGTATAGCCATTGGCACTACTCAGCGTCGGTTCCCCATCCTGGAAAACGCACGGGTCCAATGGCGGTTAGATGCGACGTCAGCGATTTCATGTGCAGTCAACTCCAGTCAAGTCTTTGACGAGCGAGTACGGTGCGGTGCGGTAAACGCTCAGGCGCCATGCCTGAGCCAAGCCATCTCAACTGGTGCAGCAAAACCAGTTTGTTGAAGGGAATATTCGCATTCCTTAAGACGCGACGTCGAACGTTATCCCTGCCAACTCGATGTTGCCACCATACACGAGCGATCCTCCTTAACACTAGAACGTCCGGAGCAGTCATTTCGACCGCTCAGTGTTGTTAAATGTGCATAGGTTATACATTTGTAAACATTTTTCAAAGATATTTCGTGACTATTGATATTGTTAGACGTCCTTCATTACTGTGGTTTCACTTTTAAATCTGGTATCGTTTCGGATAAGAAGTAGTTGTGTTCGTACTATCGAGAAAGTCCGTTAGCGGTCAAAACGATCACTTTTCTCTAATCCGGTTTCTACTTTACATTTTCAGCCGCATTATTACTTATAACGAAGTCACGTGGAATAGCATGCAAAACGGAAGTAAGAACGAGATGATGCACGATTTCCCAGTGATATTGTGCGTTCGGCTTGATAAACTCCAGTACCATTGATACACAATGGTTTTTAGGAGGATAACAGCCTTTTAGGTTTTACGTGAACTTCCAGCTATCGATCATAACGAGTCTGGAGGCGAAAATAAATGATATTGATGAAGACATAATTTTCCGGGAGTCAGCAGAAGATCATAGCATCACGGATAGTCAATGTTCTGAGAGGCACACTCCTCATGAGGACAGTAACGAAAATGTATCAGCCGATTCTGCATCTTCCAGTGAAGTTCACTTATTGTAAGATGGTACATCGTGGAGAATAAAAATAAACACACATTAACATCCTAAAAGTGTAAAAGGAATAAAAATGTGTTGGTTATCAGTTCCTTGCACAGTAACTTTCATTTAAGACTCTGAGAAGAAGAAGCCAAAGACGAAGTAGATGTACTGGATCAAATGGCAAGTCATCATCTCGACGATGGCCAGTCCAAGTATCCTGCAACATGCGAGACTTGGCTGGCATTAATTTCTGGATGATTTATAATAGTGTCTCCGGAAATAAATTATCCCGACGGTCGTATCTGATGGGTCATGCAAAAGAAATGCGTGGATCCATATATCATACAAGGTAAGTGACAACTGGGCTTACCGCGAAGAACTCAGTCCAGTTGGAAAGTTGACAGACAAGTAAACGTCGGTAGTGTCAGACTGATTACTGTATAGGTAACAAGTCAAGGAGCAAGTGAAAAAATAGCTTGTGGTTCATGTGGACAGATGGATAGTTAGGACCTGTTTCAAATGCAATTACGAATAAACAAGTACAATTACTTTCGAGTTTAAAAAATTAAAGTTCAATACAATTAGTTTCCATTTACAAACCTGTCCTACACATTGATTTTAAAAAGTGTACTAAAAATTATAAATAAAAATTAGGATAAAGAACTACAGCAATGTGGTCATTCTGGCTGGTTCCGGGCGTTCTAGGTATAACAGCAGAGCGGTCTTTCTGGTGTTAAACAACCACTGTCAACGGCAGAATGACAACGTATGTCTTCCAGGCAAATTGGTTAGGATTCGTCCACGTACAACAATACTGAATGAACGGATGCATTGTAAACACGCTATTTTAGTGAGGATGAGACGTCGTGACGACGCCACAAGTGCATGAGATCGACAAATGCTGATCGATGCGAAGATAAACCTCCTTGCTGATAGTGCTTCCACCAGAAACACAGGTCCCAAGGTAGACGAAACCATCTGCCTGTTCAAGTTGCGTATCTTCAAGAAAGAGCACAGGAGCAGGTGTGGGCCAATTCTGGAGAGACAGCTTATACTTCGATGGGGTGAAGCCTATGTCATGTTAAATGCCTCAACCGCCAACGATCCAGAATGAGTTGTATACCATGTGGATTATCCCCAAGTAAGGTCTTCTTGGCTAGGGTATTGGGACCGGCGAGCCGCATGTTTGGACAGTTGATCTGATACACAGAGCGATCACGGAGTCAGTGCCGCATTTTGATGATTTAGATAGTTGTCTAGTCCTTTTAGCTCATTGTTGGTAGGAAAAGTAGTACTCTGCCGGTGAGTCAAGATAATAACAAAATAACGTGCAACACGGTGTACGGACCATAGTGAAGAAGCTGGGAAGAATCGGGGAGTGAGGGAGCACTGTGTCAAGCGCTTCTGTGAAGCTCTGGCTTAGTGAGCAACACGAAAGCTGCCAAAAACGGTGTCAGCTTTCCATCTCAGCTCAATCCATCTCTTCCTGACCAGTCCAAATCAGGACGAAATCGATTGGTAGTGGAGTGCGGTGTATGGAGAGAGCAGCTCCGAAACTCTCCACTGCGGATGCGATTCCAGTGGTCGAAATGGCATATGTTTGTTTCCACCCGCATTGTAGCCTCAATCGAGATTGCGTGTCGCAATGCAGACAAACGGCAGGTACTCCAAGATCTAATAATAGACATGCTTTTCAATTTTAGCTGCTAAAGAAATGAGCATACCAGCTTGCAGGCCCAACGCCCAAAAAGTATCACTCCATGGATAATGCAACGAGACGGCCGGTGCCGTCCATAGCCAAGAGGACAAGGCGTCTGCCTTGCAACCTGGAGGTCGCGGGTTCGAGCCTGCGTAGGGGACCAGCAACCCTCGCGCGACTGCTGGTGGATACGTGACAGCGAAGCGTATGTACGGCGTACAGTTAAGAAAAGCAATGAATGCAACTAAGAATGCCACAAACACAAGGCCAAATGTGATATTTCACTTACAGCAGCAGTACTAGATAAAGGATGGAGCATATTATGAGCAAAAAAATGTGTGAGGACACTTTGCAGTTTTCAATGAGTCAGCTCCTGATACCGGATCCTAACTTGGTTGAGAACAGGCAGGCGGCTTACCTGAATCAATTGCACCAAGCCGTGAAATAGAGGTTGCGAATGCTCAGAAAGTGAGGCGTTTGGAAAGAGTAATCGGTCGATAAGCCAATGTAACGACTGTGCCGCTGACAGGCGCACACAAAGTGACGGGGCGCGAATTCCAACTCGAACAGAGTTGGGAAGTTGTGGATTAATGTAGCGTAGAAGCTGAGCCACCACGCTCTTGCCTCGATCTTCAAGCCTAATTAGATTGCAGGCAGAAGGGAAGTGTAGGTGGTAAGTATACTAACAGCAAAAGAAGAGCAGGACAATTCGGACACATGCAAAGAAATTGGATGTTGTGATAAGGGAGTGCATCCTGTGATTGGTTCCGGGAGAGGCGAGTGAGTGAATCGAGAAAATGCTGCGACACCCAAAGCATGTACACAGCGGCATAAAGAGAAACGGTAAGTGAGCAAAGCAATACGTCGAACAGTAGGTCGCAAAAAGGGGTTGTTCTGTGAATATGCTATGAGGCAGAGATAAATGCCGGCTAATGCTTGGGACAAATGTGAGAACGGTGGTTAACACCGGGACAGTTATCATTTCAAAATGAAAAACGAGTACGTACTCAGAGGTATGGATCGCGTTTGTACTAGGTAACCTGTGATGTACAGACTGGTTGCGAGCCATCGGAGTTATAAGCCTGGACTTTATTGGACAGAATCACAGAGCACAGCCAACAAGATGAACAAGTTCAGTTAACAACTACGATCCGGGTATTTAAATACCGTGGATTCGATTGCCACGACTCACATCGTCAGATAAACAACAAGTGCCATCATCATCATTGTCATCATCACATTATCATCATCACCATCAATACAAGTTAGTTGAGGGTGAGAAACACACCTCAGATAAGGTGCCGCAATACAAAGTTACACTCCAAAATAGTTCAAAAGCAGTTAATGTAATGTTAAATATTATATTATGTAATCCGCATGAGATCGGAATTTGAAGAGGGATCTGAAAGGGAGGGGAATGGAAAAAGAAACCACAACACAAACGCCATTGGGACCGGCTCTTTGCCATATCAGCAAGTGTTCCAAACCAAACGTGTTCATTGTTCTTAGGACCCCAACTAGGCACCTGGGATGCACCAACCGACGGCAACTTCGAACTGGCGGTTTTCATTTCTCTCAACCAAGTCATCGCTTGGCCTCCTCCTCTCCCAACCGCACCCCGGCGTGTAGACAATGCACACCGAGGTAGTCGGTGGGATGGCACGAGCAACACGTGGCGCAGCCATATGAGATTGGTGCTGTTCATCAGCTCTTCCTGCACCGAATACGCGATGCCGAACATGCGTATTGTTCATGCGGTGCTGCCACCAGATATAAGTTAAGCTGCTAAGGTAACGATAGTAGAAGATGACTGGAACTAAACGTGATGCGATGGTCTGCACGCCTCAGCGATCCACTAGACTAGTTGAGTGGTACTTTTGCACCTTCAGAGTCACTCATACCAGATTGGTCAATGGTTAGAGGTCAGACAAACTCAGTCTCCTGGACCTCCAGTTTGGGGGCTGGAGTGAGGGTGGCTATTTACTCCATAAAACGGGCTCTCTGTAAATCAGTGCAAAAACCCGCTGCCTTGCCGTCAGGTTTTTGAACCGAAGATTTTGGGTGAGAACCTTAATCGTTCTCCTGTCTAAACCTGGGCAACCTGACAGTACGCAATACACCATGACTTTTCCATTTAATAATCACTTGATGCCATGGCTGTTGCAAAGAATAATAAACAGCGCCCTAAATGGTGCATCGAGCAGGGTGGATAGAGGTTTGGATGCTATTGCTCAGGCCTTCTCGCCTTCTTATTCCCTCTCTTGCGCTTGTTTATTCTTAGTGCCTTGCTCCAACAAAAGATACCAATGGCAAGAATGAGAGGGAGCGCAAAGAGAACCAGTGCGGAAAACTAATCGGGATGGAATGAATATTAAGAGAAAGATGTAAGGAATCGAATGCAGGAACGTCACTGACTGCGCCATGTCCATTAGTGTCCAACCACGAATGCGGGCAGTCCGGAGGCCTCATTCACGAAAACGGCATGCAGTAGCTTGACCAAGTCCTTCGGTCAGTCTATTCATGTCTTTATGCCAGATCATCGACTGACCACCTCCCGGTTTCGTCCGACTTGGTGCGGCGACACAATGTGGTCAAGATATGTGAGGGACAGGACCTAGCCAATGTATGCTGTTAAACTACTGCAAACGTTTCAGTGACGCAACGAAGGGTTTCTCGCCAAACACCAATTGGTGGACATCAGCATTGCTTACTCGGTGTTTCCACCATATGTGAACAGTACTCTGCAAGGACCGGCGATCAAAGACGGCTAATCATTTAATACGAACTGGCTAAGTCACCAATCCACACAGTAACACTGGCTTCATCGCAACGTTATACACCTCCCCTTTCACTGATAAAATAATATCCCGCCGTCTCCACAGATGTGTAACTCTGGGTAAGTGTGCGACCTGTGATCCGGCAGCAACATTATCAACGTGTTGCTTGGACAATCGAAAGAGGACAAAGTAAACGCAGAATAAGCTCCTTAAAGTGGTCTCATTCGCTGACACGTGTCTTGCATCTTCGAAGCGCAAAGTGAGATTGCAGGACCAACAAATCGTAGTCAATCAGTCGAAGGCTGATGACGAAGAAGTGAGCAGATGAGAAGTTAACCTATCTTGGCAGCTGCATCGGGGAAAACAGGGGACGTGAATGATGAAGTGACCATAACGTCGTATGCTCTTGTGACGATTTTCGTACGGAGTTGTTATGACCTGGACTCCACTAATTCCCATAGGCACCGCCGGTAACACAATTGGTTGACATTCTTGATTATCTCTAGCTGTCTTCCGTAGTTAAGTGTAGTGACGTCGGGGAAATTAGTTGTGCGATGATCCTTGTTAGTTACTAACTCTCCTGACGACTTTGGTTATGTGTTCGGTTGCAACCAGAAGATGCCTAATAACTGGAAATATAAAGTAGTATCCGGTTGGCTTAACGTAGTATTTCATTTGCGGATCATGAGTAGTCCGATTGGCGCGGTTGCAAATCCCAAAGTCAAGGGAGGCGAGGGTCAGGAGTTCGTGTTCTGCGCTCTCCTTCGTACTAGGCAACCTCTACTTCTCGCACAATGGATCTGAGGAGTTCAGATCAATAACCCTTTAAGACTAGTCACATATCCAATGGGGGATATATCTCATCTAGCGGCATCACGTTTCCTTAGATGGAGAGAGGTACGAGGATCGATAAACACCCCTACTGTTAGCCCATACGCGAATGGGGTAAAGCTTAGGTCACGATAATGGCGGTAGGCATTCCGTAAGTAAATTGACTCGGTCGGAATGACCTAGTGTGGTCTCCGCTGCAGAGAAAAACCCTTTAGACCATCAGATGTCGGCCCACACCACACCGTTAAAACGTTGAAAAACTTGGGCGGGGAGACGTATGTGAATGAATGGTCTTCGGCCTAGCATACGACCTATCGTCTTTCATAACTCGTGTTATTATGTAAGATGTCAGCGGTTCTCTGAACTGATATCAAAAAGCTAGGTGTGTGGACAATAAGTCCTATAAATTCACTACATGTGAGGCTTGTTGAACAATCAAGAGATGTTGCGAAATTATCAGGGAAGGTCGGCTACTCTCGAAAATTCGTGGCAATAATGTATGTTTGAAGCATCGAGTTCCCTGTAATAACTTGAATAGCAAATAAGAAGACGAAAGCTGCCAAATGGCCCCATTTCGTGCCATCTGTTCTTTTGCAAACAGAACATATCAAATAATGTGGAAAAAATAAATCAATAAGTTGAGAGCGTGAGGTCACATGCGAGCGAAGTAAACGCTGACGACAGGTTGAGGAGGAATCATAACTTTCAAAGGAGTTTGAGCGTAGGAAACAGTTGCTTCTGGACGCAAAATGTTGGAGAATGCTTTTTTATGGCCAATGTCTCGGCAAACTTGAGGACTCTGGCGTCTGTGTTACGAGAGATGACACCAAACGCCGAGTTGGGGTCCACCTGATGACCCGTTTTCATCAGGTGTTTCGCAATTGAAGAGACAGGTATGTTGTTCGTCGAGAGAGGTAGCGTTTGCGGCTGCCTTGTCAAGATAACGATATGCTTCGGAATGTGCTCACCAATCCGCTTACACAAGCAACGGTCTGATCTGACGATATAACTGCTTCCACAGTTGCAAACAATGTGCGTTTGTTGTGAAGACGACGGGTTGGGTCGTAGGGATCCCACAAATTTATCTAAGCAGCAGGCTTGCCGAAGGACCGTCCACCTAGACATTTGAACACTCTTGAAGCGCTGCTAGAATCGGCTGCTTTTGAAAGGAAGTTTTGCCGGATAGTGGAACCGAATCCAATCCCAGTCCCAAGGTCTAATGTGTCCCAAATCGGCCGAGTGAATGAAACGGAGTTTCGGGTTCGGTTATAGGAGAAGTCCCGTGGCGGAGCTGTACGCTATCGGGCGCGTCCCCCAAGTTGAAGATTGAGGAATGCCTTCCTTGTGGAGGTAAGTGTGAATAAGTCTCGTCTGCTTTATATGCGAGATGAATAAGCAGCCGCGGACAATCAGCAGCAGCGTCTCAGTGGGGTTCTTCATCAAATACTACAAGAGCTCGTATGACAGTGTCAAAGCCAATGTGACCGGCTATAGGGTCACTGACCACTCACTTCTGTAACTGGAGGTGAGTACCTAACGAAGGGCGGATGAACAACCTTGTTGGCCACCGGCTTCTGTGTGAACTGCTACAGAACACAAAGGCGAATGAGCCACCTGGCTGCCAACGGTCTCCTACTAAGCGACGAGCGTGAATCGTCCCGCTGCCTTGCTGTTCAGGTCTTTAGGACCAAAGACTCGCGGTGGCGTCCTTTGGGTCAACATTCTTCCTCGGGCTGGACAACCTGGGAGCTCCCTGCCTACGCAATACATGAACCCTCATAACCATTTTGTAGACGGTTTCTTTTCCATCTTTTTGTTGTTTTTATGCAAGTATTAAGACATCCTACCAGTTGTTTTTTGACCAAGTGTTAAATATACAATGTCTAGGAGGAGTGTGAGGTGTGCATCCGGAGTGTATGAATGCCGTCTTCCCACAACCCTTGTAGATAACTTGTAGATCAAATCTCGGTACCAGGCCAGTGAATCGACTGCGAAAGTACGTTGCACTCGCTGGCGCACGTATGTGATTA